CAGTGGGTATTTGACCCTTCTCATCAAAATGCAAATCCAAAATTAAAAGGAGTAGGATTGTCTGAAAATGCACCCAGCTTGAAAGCTGTGGGTCAGGGTACAGTGCCGGAGCAGAACTCATGGGGAGGTCTGTGTGCTGACTCTGTGTGATCTCATGCGGTGTCCAGTGTCATTCAGGGGTCAGTGAGTCAGGGCACGGTGCCGGAGCAGAACTCCTGGGGAGGTCTGTTTTCTGACTCTGTGTGATCTCATGCGGTGTCCAGTGTCATTCAGTTCAGCCCCATCCATGTTCACTGGTCCCTGTGCCCATGGGGACAGATCTGAGGGTCTGAGGGCATGTGAGTTGTCACATAAGCAGAATTCGTGTAGCCCTAAGGATAAGATAGAAGAGCCTAGGAGTCAGGCCACCCTGGGTGTAAGTCTCAGTTTTATAAAATATTTAACTTCTCTAAGCCTCAGTTTCCTCAGTTGTAAAGTGGAGGCAAATGCAGTGGCTCCTTATCCAGCCATTGAAAGAATGAAATGGGTTAATGGCAGGAAGTGTCTAACCTGCTTCTGGACACACTAGGGTCCAAACCCAGTAACACACAGTGAGCACTGACTCAGGGCCAGGTGCTGCCCAAGAATGTCCCAAGTGCACACTCATTTACTGTGCACAGAAGGGGCTTGTTGTTTTCCCCGGTTCACAGATAAGGTGGACATGTGACTAACCTCATTTTATGGGTGAGGAAACAGTGGCAGAGAAGGGTATAATAACACACAAGGGTCACACAGCAAGTCAAGAATTCACTCAGTAAGGCCGGGCATGGTGACTCACGCCTGTAATCCAAGCACTCCGGGAGGTTGAGGCAGGTGGACTGCTTGAGCCAAGAGTTCAAGACCAGACTGAGCAAGAGTGAGACCCTCCCTGTCTCTAAAAAATAGCATTGTGATGGCATTGTGATGGGCACCTATAGTCCCAGCTGCTTGGGCAGAAGCACCACTTGAGCCCAAGAATTTGAGGTTACCGTCAGCTATGATACCACTGCACTGTACCAAAGGTGAAAAGTGAGAGACACTG